TGTTGAATTTTTACTATCAGACTAAATAGAATTTGAGGTAAAATGCATCATAAGGGACACGAAAGATGTTATAATAAATCAAGAAACTAACAATCCTGAATATATATGCAGCTAACAACATTTAAAATACATAAAACTATAACTTAGAGAACTATATATAAAAATAACTGTAGCTTGTGATTTTGACATGTTTTTCCAAGCCAGCAGATAAGAAAACAAAATCTACGCCATGCTATAGAGAAATGTGTTTGTATTATTAATCTTATTTATATAAATGTAAAACATATATAAATTTCATACCTAAACAGAGAATATGTGTGCTTTTTGCATACATGAGAAATATTTAAATAAAATTATTTATGAATTAAGCTAAAATGTCAAAAATTCTAATCAGCTATCATATGGAATATCTTCTGACCAGAGTGTGATGAAATTAGAACCCGATTACCAAAGCATAGCAAAATTAAGTTCCATATGTCTAAAAAGTAAAATATACCACTAAATAATTTTTGTGTTAAAGAGGAAATCCCAAGAGAAAACTGGTCTAAGCGACAATGGCGCTCTAAATGTAAAAAATTGTGACATGTAGCTAAAGCAATATTCAGAAGAAATTATAGCGTTAAATACACTTACAGAATGCAAAAGTTATCAAAAATTAATGTAGTAAGCACAACTGATTAATATCAGTAAAGAAGAAAGGATGAAAAATAAAGATATTGGTAGGAAATAATAAAATAGGTATTTTTTAATTTAAAAAATAGTAATGTAAAAAGTAGCATTTCAGACAAAATTCTAGGAAAACAACTAAAAAATGAAAATATTCAAATAGAGAAAGAATAAAATGGGTAACTATAGATATGAAAGATTTCAGTATTTTAAACTTGTATTATAAAACTATAAGCGAATAGAAATGTGTAGAAGAAATACATGCATTTCTTGAAAAATGTAAAAAGATCAAAATTGGCCCAAGAAAAGCTTGAAAACTTGACTAGAGTAATAGCTATTTTAAAAGATATTTAAAATCTTCCTCCACGAAGGCACAGATGGTTTTACAGCTGAGGAATAAGAAACTTTCAGGGAACAGTAATTTCTATCTTATGCAGGTCATTAAGTCTCTCTTATTAAAGTCACTCCTGAAACTAGAAAAATAAAGAACCTTAATTTATATCAAAGCTAACATAATCTTTGTGGCAGCTTTTGATAAATCTACTCTAGTTTTAACAATTTCTGTTACTTACAGGTGGACGCTTATGTAACTAATAGAAGGGACTCTAACATTTTAGAGGTCAGAAAAAAAGGGCTGGAATTAAAAAGCTATATCCCATAAGCTTAGATTAAGAGTTAGTGTGATAAAACTTGCTAGTTTTCTGCAAGTTAATTTACTAGTTTAATGTAATTACAAACATCTTTTCAAGGGAATTAATAAAGTGATTCAAATGTTTTCCTGAGTAAGTTGAAAAGTAAAGGAATTTGTGAAGAGAAGAGTTAGATTGGATTTACTCCATCAATGTTTAATATGTAGCCTCATAGTATTTCAGCAAAGAATGAGAAAATGGAACAGAATATGAAGACCAAAAGCAGTCCAGAGTATAAAAGCACAGATTCTGTAGCTAATTACGCTGGCTCTCCAACCAGAGGGAAATGGGTAAATGAGCATTTAATAAAAGTGCTAGCCATCTTGTCAACTATTTGGAAAAATTATATTAAGTACCTGTCTTGAATTATGTAACAAATTTTGGTATAGGCTTGAGAACATTCCTTCACCAGATACTGAACCACTAACTCTATGCCAAGGACTGTGCAAAGGCTGAGGATGTAAAATGAGCAAACCCGGAGGAGCTTAGAGTCTACTAGGAAGGTACAAACAGGCTGAAAGTAGAGCTGACTGAGATAATGTCAGACTGAAGTGCTTTGCCCAAATAGTACACGTACTTTCCGTTTGAAATAATGTGATGAATAGAACCCTCTGTACTCTGAGACTGTACAGGCTCCAATACAATATGATTACCCACCTCCATCCCAGGTTTTGTGCATAACCTTATGAAAAATATCTAGTGCTATGCAGTGTTTGGGCCTGTGTGTTAATCACATAAAGGAATTTAAAACTGTGATAACGGCACTGTAGAAGATATGGATGCTATGTAAGAATGCCACAGAGGGATACTTGGTGGCAATCTCCTGAATATATTAATATGTTAAATATAAAACAAAAGAAAAATCAGTGAATTAGAAGTGAAATGATGTGGTATTTGTCTGTTCTTGAAAGCCAAAATTAAAAGAAAACTATAATTTGGTTACTCAGGCTAAAAACAAATCAGCCATGTTATACAAAATCATGCAGCAGCTGACACAAAGGTCAGCAACCAATTTCTGTAAAAGGCCAGACAGCAAATCATTTAGGATTTGCAGGCCCTATGGTCTCTGTACAACTACTCAACTTTGCTGTTGTAGCATGAAAGCAGCCACAAATAATAAATACATAGATGTCCATGGCTGTATTTAAATAAAACTTTATTTACACAAAAGGGCAGTGGGCTAGATTTGGCCAATGGGTCACAGTTTGCTGAATCTTGGTCTAGATCATGTAGTTGTCTACACAATGGTTTACACTTCAAACAATATTTATGAAGCACTGAGTCCTTGGCTCAATTTAGAAAAGGAAAGATACAACCTTCTATATTCTATTTCTGCTTTTTAGGCTCTTTGGCTTCCATAAAAGAATGTGGACCCTACTTCCAGCTCAGTTACCTACCAAAGAGTAGGGGCCATACTCACCTGGCAACATGGAAGAGCTATACAATAGCTCTTTTTGCCAGAGTATACTACCTTGACCTTACTGCCTCAAAGTTGGATGAGAGTTACAATATTCTAGGAAGATTTCTTAAAGAACACGGTCCATCTACTCTTCTAGATAATCTTTATTCTTGGGCCAAATCAGACCCATGGAGACAAAGGTACCTAGCTTACACCCCTTCCTTCCACTCAGCCACTTCCTGCAGAAGAACTTTCTTTTTCTGCAGTGCTCCTTGGTTTAAAGCTTTCAGGTAACACAGAAAGCCTTTATAAGAAGTGGTCCTAAGATAGCTATTGCAACCCCTACTGTAAGGGAATTCTGAGTTTTGTGATCATTATATAATAGCATACATCACTGTCACTGAGACGTTCATATCTGATCCACATAGAACTAGGAATTGTCATAAGTCATCTGAGAAACCCATGTATTTTGCCTCAAGGGCTCTGTGAACTATATAAATGGAAATGGTTCAACCTGACCAGTAACAATAGATGGAGGAGAAATAGGCACTCTCAACACATAAATGAATACATTTCTGTATCAACAAGAGAAGCCATTCTGGTGGCAACTTGGCATTAAATATCACAAGCCCCCAAAATATTCATATCCTTTGATTTAATAATTCTAAGGTGAGAAATCATCCTAAAGATATGTATTATATAGATATTTATTGCAGTATTACTTTTAATAATAATTATTATAGAAAGGTCTACAAAAACATGTTCCAAAACAAGGAATTAAGGTAAATCATAAAAGATCCATAGATGAAAGTGAAGAAGCAACACTTATGGGCGAACATTCGATGACATAGGAGAATCCTAATAATACAAGTTTAAGTATAAAGAATAGGAATTCAATACAGTATATACGCTATAATCCCAAATACCACAGTACTGGGGTTATGAGTGATTTGGTATTTATATAAATCTGTATTTTCTAAAATTTATAGTGAACTTAATTTTTTTTAAAATAAAACTTATACTTGAAAAGTACATTCACTTTGATACTGGTCTCACAAATCTAAATTTGTCATAAGGAATTAAAAAGGTAAGTCAGCATATTAGGCAAATTAGGTATAACATCAGAACATATAAAATTGACCTACTTATGATAAATCAAAATTAGAAATTAAATAAAATTAGAAACTATATATAACATTAGAAATTATAAATCTGCAATTATCAACCTTGTTTTTCATGTTTAGGACATTTTTTTCCAAGTTCCTAACAGACTTGAAACCACAGAACGGTGGTCATGGTGGGGAGGCTGTAAATGACATGCTGTCTTCAACGATGGAGGGTGCTCCCTAAAGCCATTAGGAATGAACTGCCTGGGGACCTAACTCATCACTGCTCCTGCTTTACATGCTGGGGTTCTGAGTAGTTAATTTGAAGGAAGAGTTTGTGTGGTCATCTGCATTTGCCCCTCAGGACCCATTCCAACAGCTCCTGCCCCCGGAGTGCTGACCCCTTTGGATTTCAAGACAGCATCTTGCAGGCGCCCCTGCCTAGGTTTGGCTGATGGGAGGCATCGGCAGGGTGAGTGAAGGATCTGGGTATATACTGCCCTTGCCCTCAGGATGGAGTTTTTAGCAGTGTCCGCATCTAATAAAGGTGTGGACGCTGAATGGCTCTCCTTCAAAAAAGGTAATCTCTTTCCGGCTTTGCCATTAAACCAAAAGATGGTAACAGGTTCCTGCTGTTGCTAGGCCGTGTGCACGTCACAGTCCCTCGGTAGTCCTGTTAACTCTGTACAAAGTTTATTCACTAAACTTTCTTCAATTAAACAATTTGGGTTATGTCATTTAATTCCTGTTGAGATCTTGTCTTTTTTTTTAACTTGTTAGAGAATCACCAACAGGTTTTTTAAAAAAGAAAAGCTTATCACCAGGTCCCCAAATTTCCATAAAACTGAAAACATAGAACCTGAACTTATCATGAAAACTGCACACTTATGCTATAGCTTGAAATTATGGAATAGACAAGTTGCAAGCCATCACTATGACAAATAACAAGCATTTAAATTAATTGTGGAATGAGATCCACTTAAATTTTACCATGAAATTCAATGAGATTTAAGACAATCTGTTATTAAAAGACTCTACTTTGAAAACTGATTATTCTTAGTACATTTTTCAAACAAATGTATATATTTAATAATGAAATGGGCAGGTATAGAAGACTATTTTGCAGATCAGCAGGCTTACCTCTTTGAACTTGTGACTAAGCTTGCTCGTGTCCAGGTCTGATGGGGAGAACATGTCCTCATTCTCGGGTAGCTCAAAGACTTCAATGGCCATGTCACCTCCAGGAAGGACAGGTCCTACCTCATCTTCCTCTTCATCTGTGGCATATTCTCCTGTCTGTAAGGAAGGGGATTTCAGAAATCCAGCTGTCCTCACCCTAGGGGGAGGTGGGTTATTCGAAAATATTTTACAAAAGAGCAAGAAAACATGTCACCACATGGTAAAAAGTGTAAGTAGGCTTTTAAGTCAAGCATGCCTCATGCAGCCAATGTTATAAACAAATGTTAGTTCAAAGATCCCAAGTGACATGCTTATGCTATGTATAATGCATTTCTAAAAATCTAATAGCATCAGTAGCATCTTTAGCACAACAACAAAAGTTGTTTTCAATCTAAGCATTTGATGGTTTCATTAAATACAATTATGTTGCTAAGGGAAATAATTCCTTTAAATTCTCACTTGTGTGAATAAGTCACCCAATATTGGGAGCTGGGAAGAAGGAAGATGAGGTCAAAAGATTCAGAGTTGGAAAGGGCTTTAATTAAGCCTTACAAAAGTTGAGTAGATTAATTCACCTAAGCTTTAAAATTCAATCAGTTCTGTTTCATTTAACTAATGTGGTGGTGAACTAGTGACCTAAAGAATAATCCAAAGGTTTCTAATTTACAGCCCACACAGGTGTATTGTTTTGCTTGCAAGAGTACTTTGATAAATCTTAGGATCTGGTCAATGCTAAAAGTTTTTTTCACATACGATTCTAGATTTCCAGTGTTTCTTGAGAAAGCCAAAGATCTGGCAATACAGGCACATCGTGGCATGACAATAGTTGGCCACAGTCAGCAGTGGTTACTCCTTTTAGATGGGTCACACACTTTTTAATACACAACTTCTGTAACTCCATATTGTTCTACGCTGTTAGCTTCACTCCTTCATGACACCCGCAGGCCCCTGTAAATATCTTAATTCATGATCCCTGGCATAAATGTTCTTCCTCACCACTAACTTCCTTAACATTATTAGAAAGTAGCTCTTCCTTTAGCAATATCAGACTGAGACGCTAACTCAAAATAACTGTTTGAAATCTATACCTTATGACACAATTTAAAGATAAATCACTGACTCACAGGGTTGAAAAACAAGGTTCATTTAATTCCTCTTTGCTCCTTCAGGTAGTAATATCTAATACATGAAATAGAAATTCATATTGTCTTTAGAAAACTTTCACAAACTGTGTATTGAGTGATCTGTTCCTGTGATTAAATGGGCTTGGCATCTGATTACTGCTTTTCTTTTGGTTCTGTACTATGCTCTTGCTAAGGCCGAAACTCTTTCTTTTACCATGTTTGCACATAAAGGGAATATGGTCATTAACCTCAATGTAATAATTTCGAATGTCTGGAAGACCATTATTAAATTGCCATTCTGACTTCTCTTTTTCAAGTAAAACATCTCGTTTCCTCATAGGTCTCATTTTCTGTAATTGTCTTTGTACCTGCACTCTGAGTCTCCCCAAGTTCTCCACATTGCTCTGAAATTGTGGTGCCCAGAAGTAGACACCATTTCTACTAAGGAATCTGAGGACCACTGATCATGATGAACAAACTGCCTTGACATCCTTCAGACTGCACTTCCCTACACAGAGGCTACTAGCATGAAGACCTTCACTTTGGTGGCACCTGTACAGAGGTAAGGTCAGGATAGTTCACATAGAGCAGTGATTTTTCCAAACTGGTTAGTTAAAACTCTTTGCCCCCCTCAAAGAAAATCAGAGATGCTTTGACTGAAAGAGTAAGAGTTTGGTGGCCTCCATCTTGATCCTATATAGCTCCTCAGTACTTGGAAATCTAGGACTCTTTAGAAACCAGTCTGAAAAATGTCTAAACTATAAATACTATTCCAAGTGTCTTTGGCACTGACTGGGGAAGGTAGGTGAAAAGTGGCGGGGTGGCGGCTGCTTCCAGACAGCTTCCGTTTGTTGGTATAATTTAGAGCCTACAAATCTTAAAAGAACTCTAATTCCAGAGTTGGTATTTTTTGTGTGCTATTCTATAAGTTAATTTATATATATATATATATATATATATATATATATATATATGGTATAATATTTTGTAAGTCCTGGTGATGTTATTCAACAGGAATGTAACAAAGCTGGTAAGTACACAATCTCAAGACACCTTGCTGAAAGTTTTGATTTGGAGATGTAAAACCATGTGCTTTTTGCAAAAGGTTTTTATGAAAATACAGCCAACATACAATATTATATTAGTTTCAGGGAATATCATAGTTATTCAACAGTTGTACACCTAAGAAGTGATCACCGTGATGAGTCCAGCAGCCATCTGACACAGGACCATGGGTGTGCTTGTTCTTAACCCTGTAATTACAACTGGCAGCCGAAACCTTTACTATGAAGGCCTAAACTAGGTATATAAAATTCACTTCTGTGTCATCAATTTGATGAATATCATCAGTGACAATAAAATCTTAAGCTAAATTTAAAGTCCGACAACGTGGCACATTTTAAACGTAAGAATTGAAACGAAGAATTTGATTTCCTTTTGCCAGCTTGAAAATGTTCTTCTTCACTATGTATAAGGCAATGAATATAAATATGTGCCCAGGATGTGGCCTGACATATAACAGCATCTTAACACATACTTTTAAGAGAATAAATCCAAGAATGCCAATTGCATTTACTTGGTAATATCTATAACCTCCTAAGGAGGTTTTCAGTAATATCAAGAAAATGCACTGCAAAGTCATTTGTTAAGAGGGTAGCATTTTGTCACTTTTTTTTTTAACACTCCTTATACTGAATAACAGATGACGGTATACACAATATATGCAATTCTTACCTCTAAGTACTGTGGATTTGTCATCCATTTTACAATAGTTATCTTCATATATGTAAGTTATTAAGATTTCTTCCTCTTGATTCTCTTATTTTTTACTTCGTCAGTCTTCTTTTCTTCTCAATACCCAAACTACCTGCAATTCTGCTAAAATTCTTTTTATTTTTCATTTCACCTTTTTATTTACTATTGTTTTCTCTTTTCAATTAGTCTTATAAGCATCCTGAGGAGAAGATGTGTCTTTTACTATCTTGATTTTATTTATTACTTATTAGAGGCTCTGGATAGGGTGTTTAAAAACTTTCTGTTGCCCCTCTTTCTCGCTGATCATTTACCATTCCCACCCTGAACAGGCTTTAGAATTAGGATGCATTTACTGCCGAATCTCATAAACATCTAGAAGTTAAGAAGTTACGTTTAGTAGACTAAGAATAATGTGTTCTTCTGATTCTTTTATCTTTATTGAAAATGGACATTACTTTTATGGTTAATTTGCAAGTGAAATAAATTACATGGGATTATATGTTAGCAAAATTTCATAAACCTCAAAATTAGATTGGATTGAATCTGACATTTACTGAGGAAGATGGACAATGTACAAAAATGCAATTGCCACAACCAAGTATTCCCAGTGGTATCCAGTTCCTTCTCTCTATTTCTGGCCAGATTCAACATCTTTCAAATAAAGTTCTTTGTACCAACCTGCAAATCCACTTTAAATGAGGCAAGAATAGTTGTTAGGGTAAGACTGACAGAGACAACAAATATTCCTTTTTATCTTATCTACCTTGTTAATATCTTAGAATTTTTAATAGCCCCCCAAAAGGGGGCAAAAAATGAATAGCAATTATTTTGTAACTTACTGTGTGCCAACACTGTACATTTCTTAAAAACTGTCTGATATAAGTATTACCACACCATCTTAATTTGAGGAAACAGACTCATAGGCTTTACCCAAGGTTAAACAATTAGTTATGTTCTTGAACTTACATCTAACAAATTCCAAAGCTCATGCTCTTTCTTCTGTGCTATGCTGCTTGCAGTCTACGGAAATGAAAGCTTTGCAGGGACGAAAAACAAAACAAAAACCAGAAATACATTCCTTTACTATCTCCCCAACCAAAACCCTAGCACATAATCCTGTTGTGCTAAGATTCACTTTCCATGTGTTTGAACATTATCATTCGATTCACTTTGAAGATTTTGAAGAGTATCTCTAGTGAGCTGCAAAGTTCTTTCTCTTCTTTTCTCTCATCATGTGCTCACACTGGGCAAGTGCATAGGAGTCTCCTTCAAAAGATCTGGCTTATTGGTCTGCTGACTGACGTTTTACGCACTCTTTCTTATATAAACCAGAACCACAGCATACAATCTATCGAATTATTGCAGAGTCTTAAAATGGATGAAAAAGATACTTGCAAGGCAAAATGGGTGCAAAATTCCTCTCGTTTTTTTATGGTTTGTCTCTTTTACATTTCCACCTCACATCTAATTTTCTTGAGCTACCCAGTCTTGACTAAATCTTCCTAAGCATTTTACCTCATTTTCATCAACAGAACTTCCTTTATGCCCATATTCCATTAGAGCATTTAATATCTTATTGAAATACATAATTATAGTAATAAGTACAGCTGACACGTTCTGCCTCTTCGGGAACATAGAATGTTTGACTGGTGGGAGCAGGAGCGTGTAGACATACGAGAGCCTTGAACACTCATGAGAGCTGTAGATTTCAGTCTGGCTAGGTTTTACGGAAGGAACGGATAGTATCTGTTATATTGGTGAGTTGACAGAGTGGAGACCAATGAAAGGTTCTTGGTTTTGAAATCACATAGGCCTGGGTTTAAATTCCAGCTCTGTGATCACGAGGTGCTCATGAGAGTAAGTTAGACAGTGCCTGTTAAGTGCCTAACACAAGTCTGGCACATGGTTAAGTGCTCCAAATGAGTAGCTGCTGCTGTTGCTGCTGGTGGTACCAACACTACATCAGAACACGCTAAAGCTTCTCCAAATCGATCTTGTGACCAGACGTTCACTAACAAGTTCTGGTCTCCTAAATACGATGGTCCTAGAAGACCTTGCCATTTAAATCTTTTATAAGGAAATTTGTTCTTTCTGAAATAAAAGTTTGCCTTTTCCTAATCTTGCTCCTCTTCTTATATTCCCAGTTTCAGAGTAGGCACCAGCTTCTATCAAGACCCAGAAAACGCCCAGGCCTCTTTTCTCCTCACTTAACTAGATCCCCTCTTACCTCAGTGAGCC